ATCAGTGTATAAAGAAGTTAATATGTGTGCTGATTACCTTATCAATATGAGTTATTATGGGCCCACTTTTTCGTTTCACAAAAAACAAAAATAAAATACAATAAATTAAACCAAACCCTTTCAGACATTAATCTTAATTATTTAAATTTCAATAATCAAAATCAAAAATAGAAATTATAAAAAAAAAACTAAAATTAAAAAGTAAAGTTAAATGTCAATTATAGTCTCTAAACTTTCAATTGTAAATATTTTAGTCCTTAAACTATTTTTAGCACTTTTTTATCCTTAAACTATGAAAAATATATTTTTTTAGTTCCTCCATCACTTAGCCGATTAAGTTTGTTTATATATGTATATTTTTAGTTCCTGAACTTATAAATTCAATGACTAAAAATGTGCATATATTACAAGTTTAGAAACTTATTAACACTAAAATATAGAAAAGATTGTGTGAAACCAAGTGCTTTATGATAAAAAATGGACAGAGCTTACAATGGAGAGAGAAAGAAGAAAAAATAATCTCCTTCCTACATCTAACATTAGGATATTTATAGGATATTATGTAGAATCATTCTAGGATTATAATTCTAGTTGGGTTAATGTTTGGTATTCTAATTTTAGTGAGATTTAGTTTATCTAATCTTGATAAAGCTCTTTTAAGATGCCTCCACATGTTCTAATTCTCATAGGATTTAATTGAGGGTATAACAAGATTACAAATAACCTTACTTGGATATCCTTAATAGACTAACAAATGGACTAAAAAAGTATATTTTCACCAATAAAAACTTGGTCAAATTGGTACCAACTAACTTGAAATTCTTAATTTAGGGTCAAAATAAAAGGCTCAAACTTTTGTATTGCCAAGCAGTTAATTCTTTAATGTACCAAAAAATGTGCATTTTCATAGTTTAGGAGCCAAAAAAGTGTAAAAAATAGTTTAGGAACTAAAATGTTCAAAATTTAAAGTTTTGAGACTATGACATTTAATCAGAAGTAAACAACCGACGCATTGGGTTTGGTTTTGTATAAAACAACTGTTGTGTTGTTTAAAGAATTCCACAACCAAAATATTTAGGTTAAATATGAAAATTAGTCTTCTAACTTTTAATGTTGGACAAATTTCATCTCTTGACTTTTTTTCCACTTTTTTTTTGGTTGGAAAAATATATACATATATATTTTTTTGTCTTTTTGTTAGTTAGCTCATTAAATATGTCAAAATGTATATTTTTTAACCTCTAAACTTATGATATATGTACATTTTATCTCTAAACATATAAGTTTAAAGACTAAAAGTATGCATATATAAATAAATTGCATATATAAATAGATTTAATAGATTAATTGACAAAAAAAATGTATTTTTATAGTTTAACCAAAAAGTGTAAAAAATAGTTTAATGACTAAAAATGTTTGAAATTAAAAGTTTAGAGACTATGGAATTTAACTAAATATTTAATTGTAAAAGTTTTCAGGTTAAAGTATGCGTTTTGCCTTTTACCTTATTAAATTTGAAGTTTTTTACTATTTATCTTATATTATGAAATTTTTAATCTTTAAACTTAAAGATTTAAAAATTTTAACTCTCTAAATTAATGGAATCCTTTAAGAATAAAATATTTAAA